GAATGAGGGAGGGAAAGGACAGGAAGAATTATAAAGGAACATAAAGAAACTTCTTGGGGTGTAGATATGTTTATAATCTGGATTGTGGTGATGGTCACATATATTCATCAAATGATAACACTTTAAGTATATGGATTTATTATATTAAAAGTATATACCAGTAAAGCTATAAAAAAGAAGCAAAAAAGTAAGTCAAGTTGCTGAAAACCAATAATAGAGAGTCTTAAAAACATCCAGGGAAAGGACAACCATTTTGGAAAACAGTTTGGTAGTTTCTTTAAAAATTAAACCATACAATTCAACCGCACTTTTCAATATTGACCTAAGAGCAATGAAAACATTTGTTCACACAAAGGCTTGTATACAGATGTTCATAGCATCTTTATTCCTGATAGACCCAAACTAGAAACAAACTCTTTTTGATATATTCAAACAACAGAAAATAACTCAACAATAAAAATGAACACTTTTGATAAACACAACTTGAATGACTCTCAAAAACATTCTATGTAAAGAGACCTGACACAAAAGAGTACATATTGTATGAATCCATTTATATGAAATTCTAGAACAGAGAGAATTAATCCACAGTAACAAAGTAAATCAGTGATTACCTGAGGGTCTGGGGGGTAGGGATGGTAGCATGGGGATTAACTTCAGAGGGGCATGAGGGAACTTCCTGGAGTAATTAAAATATTAAATGCTTTTGGTGGTGGGTTAATAGATATGTACATTTTTTTTCAAAATGCATCAAATTATACACTTAAAATGCAGAAATATAAGAAAACCTTCTACTTTTTACTTGCACTGGCTACCATTTTGTCCTCTTTCCACTGATAGGAGTTATGTTATGGCTTAAGGGGAAAGCAGTTTTCCAGCAGTTTATGGCCGTTAATCTGTGGTTAAGATCTGAATTCCATGTTAGAATATTTTAGTGTATTCCAGGAAATAGCAGCTGAAAGAAGAGGAGAACTGAGCATTTCTTGAGCATGGGGCTGTGTTCTAGGGCAGCTATTGACATACATCATCTCACCGAGAAGAACCTAGGAGGTTGGTGTTAGAGGGATCTGGTGGAGGAAAGCCATTACATTGCCTATAAAATGGAATCCTCATGCCCACTCCTATGGTGCTATGAGAATTAATGATATTACAAAACGAAGCAACTGGAAGAGTGTTTTGCATATAGAAGGGCCTAACACATGCTAATTGCCTTCCTTATTCCTTTATTTAATTAGTGAGAAAATTGAGACTCAGTGAAATTAAATTCCTTTTATGAGCTGTACCTTTGTTTGCCCCACTACTGCCTTTCCAGGGAGCACTCCACATCTCCACCCTACTCCTTCATACTCATACCTTTGCTAGACTGAGTCTGCTTATCCTTTATTTATTAATTTTTAGAAGATTTCTAAAAATTGATTTTGAGAGAGAGAGAAAGAGAGAGAGAGAGAGAGAGAGAGAGAGAGAGAGAGAGAGACGGAGGTGGGGGGGAAGGGAGAATATGAGACAGAGAGGAACATCGATGTGAGAGCACAACATTGATCAGCGGCCTCTTGCACACCTCCTACTGGGGATTGAGCCTACAACCTGGGCATGTGCCCTGACTAGGAATCGATCCAGCAATCTTTTGGTGCACAGGATGGTGCTCAACTAACTGAGCCACACTAACCAGGGCTGCTCATCCTTTAAATACAGCACTGAGGTTGGGGAATCAGCCAGTTAAAATTCAAATCCTGACTCATAAATGTATATAAAAAGGTGTATAAACTCTGTTATTTATTCATCTGTAAAATGAGGATAATTCATGCCAAAGAACAATAATTGCATGTTACATACTTATTTCATATAGTTGTGGGAATTAGTCTTCCTCATAAGTCAATAAATTTTAGCAAATAGTAAAATTATTTAGTTCAGACGTCTCTTCTTCTGAGAAGCTTTCCCATGAACCATCTCCTTCCTTGAATGGATTAAATACTCTGTCTCTATTCCTTTGGCACAGTGTCCATTTCTTTCTTATTGTAATAAATAATGATCATTGTTTATTGAGGACATGTTGTATACCAAGTGCCGTATTATGTGCTCTATGCTACTTATTTGTTATTCACAAGAACCTTGTGAAATAGGTATATTTTTCCTATTTCACACTTATAGAAACCAAAGCTCACAGAGTTCACAGGGCTTTCTCACTAGTCTTTGAGTTTCTTTAAATCAGGAAACATCTCTAATTTATCTAACATAATTGCAGAAAATAGCTTCTCTTAGGGAGTTATTATAGGTGTTTGTGTGATTGGGTTTTGTTGGAACACACAAGAATCAACAGTGAAACTGGGCCAAAAACCCATGTCTTCTCCTTTTAACATAGTCATTAATCTAGTCCTGTGTTTTTTTCTACCCCTGTGCCTTCTCTGAGGTTTTGACAAAAAGCTCTAGCTTTATTTCCATTCTGGAGAGAGGAAGGTTTCAGCTCATTCCTGGAATAACCAGCTTGCTTTCCCCTTCAGCCTGGTGCTGCCCCCACTTTCCTAGGAATTTCTTTTCTGGCTTCACCAGTTAATGCTCTTTGGCATAAAGAGCTGCTTTGTGGGCCAGATAGGTCTCTGCATAGATGTCTTTGGTGAAGAGTTCACTATTTGCCAAAAAGGAGAAGTCACTAGGCCTTCTGCCTTAATGTGCAGTGTGTGTGCAGGCTGGCCTGGCTTGACTGTTGAGCTCTACAGACTTGCTGTTTGT